ATAAATATAAAATATAATTTACATGTTTAAAATATTTATCTATATAAATTTTAACTATAATTTATATATAAATATAATACTAATATATATAACTTATTACAAATTTTAGTTATATATAATATAATAATACATATTTATCATGTGTATTGCACAAACAAGTTAAATATGAATATTTGTCTTGCACATATTCATTTTAGGAATTTCACTTTAAAGAAAGTTTATAAGTTTTATATTTTGATAAGATGATATTTACAAATTTTTAATTTTATATCAGTTTCAATTTATATTTATTATATAGATTTCAAAATTAAATTAAATTATGCTAAAAATTTATGAATAATTAAAAATAATGTGTCATAATATAAATTTTCTTTTACACATATAAATATAATTTATTTATATAATTTTAAATTAGTAGAATTTATATATTGAAATATATAATATTTTTTATATGCATAATTTTTTGTAAATTTTATTTATATATAATAAATATTTAGTGTGGGCATTAAACTAAATAAATTTCTATTAATTTAAACCATTTTAAAAATATACTTCATTTCATTGATGGTTTAGTTTTAATAATCTTTTTTTTTTCATTAAAAATAATATTTATTTTTAATATCAAATTTCAATTAAATATAATTATTATTTTTCAATAAAATTAATATGATTAAATTTTATTAACTAATTTTTAATTAATGTAAATTAGTCTTAATGTAGTCAAGGTTGCGATTGAAACTAGTTTTTGACAAACTTGATAGATACTTATTAGAAATTTACCCTTTTCCAAAAATTTGATTTACAAAAATACAATTTTAAATAACTTATATATTAGGTTATTATTTATAATTTGAATGGTTTTACATGATGCTTTGAAGGCGAAGTTGGTTGCCAATATGTTAACATTAAATACGTGTTTTCAACAAGATGACATAGGTTGTGGTTAAAATTTGATTATGGAAAGGTTTTACATGCCTTTTATAGTCCTAATTTCGTATATTGGTATGTTCGTAGTTGATGAAAGCATTATTGGATTTTGTATTTTAAGATGTAGTTTTAGACTTCTCATATTTTTAAAGAGAATAATGTGCTAATAAATTTGTGGTATATGATTTAACACATATAAATAGTTTTGTTTGGTGGGACACTTTAATATATTTTATTTAGTCATAGTTTTTCTTAACTATTGCAATCTACCTTCTTTTGGTTTTTATTAATTTTTCTTGGGTAAGGTCTAGTTCCCCAAGTTCTTTTTTTTTTTCTTTCCTCTTTTATTATATTCAAATGTGTTGCAAATGAATGGTAGATTTTAAGATGTCAATATTGTTGGAATGTCTTTATATTATAATGATGCTTAGTATGTCAGACTTTTTATTTAGAAAAAAAAAATTGAAGGGGTTTTTTAGAAAAGTCATTTTTATGTTGTTAATTTATTAGATAATTATTTTTTAATCTCTTAATAGAAGTCACTATTATTTATTTTAAAATGAAAATTCAATATACTTGACAAACACGTGAATGGAATAAACTATGAGACACAAAATAGGCTAGAAATGACATCTAGCTAAAAGTGCTTTTTGTAAGCTATAACGATTGAAATCAGAGTTCATTTGTAAATAAATAAATATGGTAGGGAAAGGACCAAGGGAGAATATCTAAATTTCTATATTATTATTAATTATTGTAAAAAAAAATATTTTATATCTTTGTGCATTTTATTTTAAAAATAAAATAAAAAATAATTGAATTTAAATATTCACGAGTGATTAAACAGTTATTTAAAGGATATAAAAAGTTATAAAAAAAAAAAATTTATTGAGAGAAAAAAAAAAGAAAGAAAGAGAAAACTAAATAAAAAAATATATGAAAGACAGAGTGACAAGGGGTAGAATGATTGTCAAAATGTGTACAATTAAAATAATATATGACCTTTATTAATAGTATATATAAAGGAGATTATTCCTTTTAGTGTACATATTTTTGATAATTTTATCCTTATAATTACTTCTCAAACCACTCTTTCTCTTTACATCATTTTTTAAAAACTACCTTCACAACTATACCTATTCAAAAACTTACTATTAATTGCTCACTTAGAACTATGGTCCTAGGACTAACCCATCCCACCTCCTATAATACCCTCATTTATTTTAGTTTCACCTAATGGAGAGATTTAAAACTTCTAACCCAAATAAAAGGAAGTTACAACCAAGGCCAAACGAGTTTTGACCCCTTACTTGCCACATTAAAAAATTAATATTGGTTTACATACTCAATATAAAATAAGAAACATATTTTTTATGTTTATTCTTTCTTAATCAATGTTCTTATCTTAATTTTATAGAAAATATGGTTATTTTAATATTTTCAATATCACAAATTTTAAGATAATTGTAGCTTAAGTTATCACATTTTTTTTTATAACAATGATGAACACAGGAGATTATCTTTTCTATCATGATCAATGAGCTTACATTAAAGCTAACTTTCATCAAGATAGGAGTTGATTTTGATCTTTATGCTAGAGACAACAATTGTAGATCTTTCATCAAACTTATCAATAATGCAAATAACACCTCAAAATAAGGCATTGTAAACTTATGATATTTAACATGAAACTTCAATTTGTTTGAGTTATTTACTTGGACAATAGTGCACATACATCTCACTTTTTATTTTATCACATCTTATTATATTATTTTTTTAATTTTCTCTTGTTGTCAATTTTCATTTTTATTTTGTATTATGTTTTTATTTTTATTTTTTTCATCTTAAATTTATGTTTATATATATTTTTAAAAATATTTTTGCCTATGATTTTTTTTGTGTTTTATTTTTAATTTCCTAGACAAAATAAAGTATTAACCGTTAGGATAATTTTTTAATAATTGAATTTATTATTTCTATTTAAAAAATATTGGCCCATGGATTGGCACTAGGTGAACTTTTTGGCCTTTTATTATAAGTGGGCTTTTTTCTCTCACTCACATGAACCAAGACTTTAGGGTTCGATGCGTCTTTTTAACAAACGTTGAAAGGGTTAGAAGTCTCACAGTGGACACCTATTCGTAACCTTGCAGAAGATATATTACATGCCCTTAGAGATCGCACTTATGCTTCTTGTATATACTGGTAATGGAATGTTTTATTCACTGTAACTTTAGATCACATATATATGGTTTATATTTCACCTATTTCTTTCTTTCATGATTTTTAGTTTGAGTTCAAACTCTTTTGTTAAAAAAAAAAAAAAACTTTATCATTAACAAAATATACCATTACTTATTAAAACCTACATACACCTTTATTTTTACATAGTCTAAAAAAAGTGTAAAAAAGAGTGTGTAAATAATCGTTTAGTAATTGTAGTTATAAAGATAATTTATAAAAATATGGGTGAGAAATAAAAATTAATTTGAGAGAATTTTACAGACAAAATTGTTCAAAAAAAAATGTGAGCATTCCTTCATTAATAACTAAGGAAAAAAGAGATACCCTATGTCTATAATTAAAAAATAAAAATAAAAAATGAGAAATTATGTAAAACCAGGATTTTTTTTTAAAATAAAATAAAATGAATAAAAGATGATGAAAGAGAAAGTAGTTTAGAGATAATTATAAAAATAAATATTAAATTATAGTTTTAATTTCTTTATTCATTTTTAATATTTAATTTAGTCTCACTATTTTTAAATAACTCAATTTAGTCCAGTATTATTTTTTCATTTAAATTGACATTAACAATATTAATGAAACTCAATAGAAGAAAATATTAAATAGTATTTGAAAATTAATGATTAAATTAAATCATTTAAAATAAATAGAAATATTTCCCTAATAATATATAGATATTAATTTTCAGTTTTAACCTTTTATGATGTAAATTTTAATGCATCTTTCTTGTTAATATAATAAACACTTGTCTATAATCAAATATGCATTACATATTAATCTGTCACTATAAATTATGAATTTATTTTATATGGATTTATACTTAGATGTAACAAATAAATAAGATAAAACCAATCACTAACAAAATGATATTTTTTAATCACGTTTTAATTTAAATAAAAAATATGACATGACATGAAACAATGATTTCAATCTACTTGCTATACAACTATATTTTAAATAAAATAGGCTACTTCTAACTTTGGACAAAGGGTCATGACACCTCCAGACGCAGTATACAAGTAGAAAAACTCAAAATTACTTTTCCTTCTATAACAATAAATTCTTCTTTCTTCCATTTGTTTTTTAGAATTCAAGAAAGGGCATTGAAATTCCTAAAAATGTGTTTCCAACTTTTATCTAAAGATAGGGGGAAATTCTATAACCATAGAGCTGACACTTCTCTTAAATGATAATATCTTCTTCTTAACTTTTTCAAAAGTAGACTTGCGCAGATCCCAACGGGGTGAGAAACTTGCCACCTTCAAGACTTGAGCATATTCCATTACAAATTTAGCAGATCGTAACTCTTGTTCAATGTCATAAAGTTTTCCAAACTTAAATACTTCAAGGTTAGATATAATACAAGAAGACACATTTTCAGGATTCGAATGTTCTGCATCAAATTGAAGTAGTTCTTAATGATCAAAAGATAACAATTATATTTCTCAATAAAAATAAAAAATGGAATTAAAAAAACTTTATAAATCTAATCAGTAGTATCACAAAATTCTTTTGTGAAAATTTTGATGATCTACAAAAGTATTTTGCAAAGTTTAGTGATTATTGGATTACCTGGGTAGACTCAATGAATCAATTACTAACCTGTAAAAGAAGAGTCTTCAAAAATGGTGTGTTTTGAAGGAAGTTCATCAAAATTTTACCAGTGATATTCCCTAGTTCGGGACGAGTCAACATTCCAAATCAGGAAGATCATCTTGTACTAGTGCAAGAACCTGAGTGACAATGGGAGCCAAAACCATTTATATCGGGGCAATCCAAATGCTATGTATAAAATGTAATGAAACAAAAACTATTCTAATAACAATAAACATCTCATAAAATAAAATGTCTCATTAGAAGTCACAACTATATATGTTATAAAGATTGGACTTCAACATAACATTAGCAAAGTAAAATGCTACTATTCAAGCAAGGAAATGTTGATGTCATTATCAAATTTCATTGTTGTTGATAATTCATTGCAAACACAGGGTGAAGCAAGGAAACATACCTTGGACCGCTCAAACTTCAGACATTTCACATTATTATTGAATTGTTTCAGAAGCTGAGAAGTTAAAAACGCGGCATTTTCCTCACTCTCCTGTAGATACTCCCGTGGATAAATATTAGCAGAGGCAATACGTGCTCTAGATAGGTCTATGTCTAACAAAATTGTGTCTGATATTGGTGAAACATAACCACTATAAGAGAATTTTGTAAGACGCGGGGCACAAAACTTCATTATAGTGTGTGAGTCAACAGATTCATATGCAGGAGTTATTGAAAGCACTTCAAGTAGAGGCACTTCAAAAGTGATATCCTTTACATTTAACCAACTGCAATTTTCTGCCTCATATTCTCTAAGAACTGGCAACTTGATGATCAGATTTTTGGGGTCATTAGAAGGTTGGCAAGTAAACGTGATTCTGGTCAACTTGAGGACAGTGAGAGTTGAAAGACAAACAAAGCTGGGAACTCCAATAGCACAACCATTCATATTCAGCACCAATTTCTCCAAGGACTGGGATTTCCAATGGGAATATGAGGAAATGTCGAGGTTTTTGTTTGATTCAATTAAAAGCTCTTTGACTCCCCGGTTTAAAATAGCTGATATCCACTGATTAATATGGTAAGAATGGTAATTCTTTGTAAGAGAAAGGGTGAAACTGTGGACGCTTGAAGCATCAAGGTTAAGTAGTACTCTATACACAGAATTTAAAAAGTGGGTTCTGCTTATAGATCCTTGGCATTTTCGATGTAGATAATGCTTTGTGCTATTTGCATTGATAGTTTTCTTGTGATCCATGATATCACCATCATATTGCATATTTCCTATGCTTCAAAGATCTCATCACTTTTATTTTTCGACCCCAACGTGCTCTCTTCATCACACGATTCCATGAATGATAGTTTGCACCGTTCAATGGAGGTGTAACAAGAACCATACCTGGATTTTTTTCTAGGTACGTAATAGATAGCAAGGGCTTGAAGGATTCAAAGATTGATCAATGAAGTCTCTATTTTGATGAGATACTGATTATGACATCGCAAAGAAGCATGAACAAGAAATAGAAGAAATGAAACTTCAAGAACAAGACGACGATGCAAAAGCAAAGCGGGTTGAACCCTCTTTGATACCATATTGGGAAAAATGAATGAGTTTAGTCATTAATTTAGATAATCGAAGTACATCTTATTTATTTATACAAGAGGCTAACTCAAAGCTAACCATAAGTGACTCATGGCCATTCAATGGCTAACAATAACAAGACTAATAATCCTAAATATCTTATCATATATAGATAGACCATATTTTGAGTTTGATCAAAGGGAAAGGAGTATTTGAATAAACTTCCATAAAAACACTTTTAAAAGAAACAAATAAGAAAAAAAATGTCTTTTACAAGTTAATTTATAAAGGTTAGCTAGCTCTGTCATATTAAGTTTTTCATAAACTTATTTTTAATTTATATACAAACTAGTTTAATTTATGAACAAGTTAATTTTATTATTTTCTTTTTGTTCGTTTCTCCTAAAAATATTTTTTATAAATTTATTCAAATATAATCTAAAAGAAAATTGTTTGAATAAAGTATTATCCTTTATAAAATCTCTATTAACAATTTCTTTCAATATCTTCTTAATTTTCCCCTTTTTATGTGACCATATATCTATTTCATCATTATTATTTATTTCTAAATCTATCGTGTTTAAAGTCTAACATTCACTGCCATCCAGTATGACTGGACGAATAGCAATATATATAATAACATTTTCTAAGTTTGGTAGTCTCCATTTCAACTATATATCCAACTTTATATAATGTGTGACAATGTGACATCTTTATTAATATCTTTATTATTTTGTAATTAATTTTAAATATTTAAAGTTAGAAATATATGGTATAACATTCTCTATTTTTTACTTTCAAATCATTTTCATTTAATTGGTTTTTTTTTGCCAAAATTGTAATGTATATACATTTTTTAGATAAACTTCTTACTTCTAATAGAGAAAATAAGGAGAAAAAGTGAAGTAAGTTTCTTCATAAGATAAAGTTAATTTATATATTATAACTTATTTTAATTTTTCTTTCTATTTTTATCCCTTAAAAATACTTTTAGAGAAATTTATCTAAACAAATCATTATACTTATTCAAGTAAAAAAATTCTTGACTGATTTTTCAATCATAATTATATCATTCACCAAAAAAAAATATATATAATTTGGAATATTGTTTTGTACATCAATGGCAACACATCGAAGACTAATAAGGAAGCCTTTTATATCATCTCTCGGATCGAGTTCAGAGGCTAATAGTTACTTCATAGTTAGTTCATCATATATGTCTTATATAAGGTAATTAAACATAATTGTTCTTTTTAAAAACTTTATGCAATATTTCTCTTTTCCTGGATCACGTTTTTAAAAGGTGATAAAAATTAGATGTAATATTATCATTCATATATTCAATAAATACAATAAAGAAATCATAAATTTAGTAGTATTTTAACATGTACAATGTACATGTTAAATGTTAATTATATATAATTAAAATTTAAAATAAATTGTGCATATAAATAAGTATTATATTTAAATATATAAATAATTTTAAATATATAAATTATATTTTATATTTATGATAAATAATTTATATTATAATATAAGATTATTTTTTATTTATTTGATAATTTATTTTAAAAATATTAAAATTTAATTACAAATAATTATAATAAATAAAATTGAATTAGATATGAAGTTAAAGAATATCTAAATTAAAACCCCTCTTATTAATTAAATAAAAATATTTAAAAATGTTTCAAACAACATAATTATTTGTGTTTTATATATAAAAATTTATTTTTCTCATAATATTTTTATTTTATTTTATATAAAATAATGTTGGTCTTCCAAATTTTGCTTTTAAATTTTGTAAAAATATTTTCTTTGATTTTTACCGCTTCAAAATTTAAAGTCATTATTTTTTAATCTCTAATATTTATTTTAAGATAAATAAATAATATTAATTTAGAAATCAAAATTTTCTTAAGGAGTTAAATATTCTTTTCCTTGAAAATATTTTCTTTAATTTTCATGTCTCTAAAATTTAAAATTATTATTTTTAATTCATTACATTTATGTTATATAGGAATGATAAATGACACATAATTTAGAGGTGATTTTTTTTTTTCTTAAGGAGCATGTCCGCATGAAACCACATCTGTGTTATTGGGTGTTACATGAGATGGTCATATAATTACCATTTTCTTGAGGCATAAGCAGTTAACCAATGCCATATGAAGATAAAGTTAAAAATTATTGATTTTGAATTTTAGATGATGATACTAGTACAAAAATGACTTTTAAAATCGGGGTTTTAAAATCGGTCATCAGATAGCTGATTTTAAAAGTTATGCAGTGACAATTTTGTAAATAATGACATTACTTTTAAAATCGGCTACGTTATGATCGATTTTAAAAGTCTCTGACGCTATTTTTAAAATCGGCTCCTGAACAGCCGATTTTAAAAATAGGACTTTTAAAATCGGCTCTTAAACAGCCAATTTTAAAAGTGGGACTTTTAAAATCGGTTCTAAACAGCCGATTTTAAAAGTTCACTTTTAAAATCGGCCCTAAACAGCTGATTTTAATAGTCTACTTTTAAAATCGGCTATTGAGTAGCCGATTTTAAAAGTATCACTTTTAAAATCGGTTATTGAACAACCGATTTTAAAAGTAACATCAGAGAGTTAATTATACTATCTCTGCTCCCATTGCTTCAATATCATATATTCTTCTCTTTTACTCTCTCGGAATCTCATCTGAAGTGTGCAACTTCTCATTTTCTCGGACGAATACAACAGCGAGGTAACATTCTTGTCTCATGTGTCTTATTCCGTTGTTGCTGGGCGAACCTTTAGTCTGGAACGGCCCCAGAACGGGCTGTTTTGCAAGCAGAACGGTCTGTACCACTTGCAGTACGGCCCATTTTGCAAGCAAAACGACCTGTACTGCTTGTAGAATGGGCCGTTCTGAAAGCAGTACAGGCCGTGCTGCTAGCAGAATGAGCCGTTCTGAAAGCAGTACAGGTCGTGCTGCTAGCAGAACGGGCCGTACTGCTTGCAGTACAGGCCACTCTGCTGGCATTAATATTCCTTTTTTTCATCTACAATGGCAGAGCCTGATGATAAATGACACTCTCAGCTCTGTTACTTGGAAATTGGAAATTCGTCTAGCACACTCAAGAAATTCACTTGCACATTATAAAACAGTACCACATCCGAATCGAGAGAAACAAGAAAATGAGTAAAAATAAAGAAAGATCAATAGAAGTTTGATGGTATTAACTTCAGAAAGTTCTTGTTTGCAGCAAAGATAGCCCAGGACAATATGAAAGTCAGGCTGCATTTCCACTCCCAGGCCGGTGTAGAGTTATTTCAGGGATAAATGTATTTGATCCCAAGTTCAACATAGCTGCACCCGGAGCTGATCAGTCAGTCTATTTCCCTTATACAGACAAAGAAAAAAGACTCACTCAATTTCATCCTGCCATTGAAGACCTATTGTATGGTAAAGTGGATACCAATGAGCATATGTAAGTGAAATAGTTGCTACTTTTTTGTGGTTAATGTTCATATAAGAATTACTATATTTATCCGAATAGTTAAATTTCTCTCTTGAATATACCATTGAAACAGTGGATATCTAGAAAATAGAAGAAAACCCATCATCTTCTCAATGGCAAGGCTTGATGTTGTGAAGGACTTAACCGGATTAGTTGAGTGGTATGGGAAGAACCAAAGATTGAGAAACATGGTGAACCTTGTCATAGTTGGAGGCTTCTTTGACCCTTTGAAATCCAAGGACAGAGAAGAAATGGCATAGATAAGGAAGATGCATGAAATTTCAACAGAAATCATTGTTGATGGGATCTCTGGCTTTCACATTGATCCCCACAATGGAGAAGAATCAAGCAATAAAATTGCTGATTTCTTTGAGAAATGCTTAGAAGATTCGACACATTGGAATGGAATTTCAACAGCCGGATTGCAGCGCATAAATGAATGGTTCAAATGCAACTTTTATTTCTTAGCTTTTAACATCGGTCATGTATGACCGATTTTAAAAGTCTCACTTTTAACATCGATCACTGTTGATCGATTTTAAAAGTGAGACTTTTAAAATCGGTCAGCGACCGATGTTAAAAGTCCTACTTTTCAAAATCGACTCTTTTAAAATCAGTCAAAAAACCGATTTTAAAAGTAAAAAATGACCGATTTTAAAAGTATTTTTTCCACTAGTGTGAAAACCCAAAAAAAAAATAAACATTTACAAGCACTAAAATCCAAAAAATTACTGAATTTATTATGAAAGTCAAAATCATATTTAACTTATTTATTGGAGGCATTAATAGGCTGATAAGTTGCTATACATGATCACAGGTGGTCTATCATTGCAGGAAGGTTGCCTGGACGCACTGAGAATGAGATCGAGAACTTTTGGAATACACATTTTAGTAAGAAAGAAGGAGAGAAGACCAACATCAATGAAAAACCAAGCACAAGTGTAGCCACAATTAGTAAAATGCCTAGTTTTCAATCTTTCAAGTGCACCAAATTGTGTAGTGATTCTACAGAATCTACCCACTCTGTGATTAAACCTAAAGTTGTGAGGTTAACCAAGTCAGTCATGCCAACACACAAAGGATGGAAAAGCCACAACTCTTGATGCATCCACTTTTATGTAAATAAGATAAGAAAACTATCATAAAAAGTTATTTAGGAAGTGTTTATATATATATATATATATATATATATATATATATA